CACGCACCATGGTCTTGGTAAGGCATAGGCTGATGTTTTGCGCATGACCATACCCTGTTCATTGAGAACACGAACCCTCCTTTGGAGGTAATTTACAATATAAATTTTTTGATGTATGTACGTACATTTTCAAAATTATTTATATATCCACAATACTCTGAATAACCTCACAGAAACTTGTAATGTTGACCACTTTTATAATATTGCTAGCCAATTGACGTAGAATCACACTTCTGGAAAATTTTTTGTTGAATACACTAAATCATGTTGTGTAGTATCTGGCATATCCTATTAAAACTACTTATCTTCTACATTTATTTCCTTATTTTCGAGCTAATAAGGAGTAAGGGTTAATGGTTTGTGAACACTTTTGTCATTTTCAACAAAGCATGTGCTGGCTCCATCACACTTCTCACCAAATATCATACCATAAAGTAACTTTTTGTGGACACAATGATCCTTCGACACTTACTTATGGATTTTTACTGCCCTGAATGTAACAATTTAGTTTATTGTCATATCTATTTATATCATTAAGCAAAAAATTACAATTTACCCTTATCACTGAATAAATTTCGTTTGTTTGAAATTGAAAATACACCACGTACTACCTAATTTCGCTATTTTGGTGGTAAGTTTTCACAATTTTAACACATTCAGAGGTTGTTACACGATCAATATTGTAAAATGGCAACCCTTAAACAAGCCACATAATGATTAAAACAACAGTTCGATTGTTTCGGTTAAAACCACAAAATGGAAAAGTCTAATCTCGGTAATATTAACCAATTATATTATATTGAAGCAGTTTAGAGCTAGTGACTTAAGTACTTATACTCTTTTTTAACTCGAGGTATTTTCAAAACCCCAATTTACACCTTGACTAGATTATTGTTTATCACTTCATCAGACTAAGCAATAATTGACCTCAGATCTACATACTTCCCCGAGAAGTCTGTAACCATTTTGAGATTTGATAACGCGGTGTTGGTAAGTCTGTCAGTTTTCGCAAATAATTTCAGTGCTCTATCCTTATGTTACCATATATACACAGCTCCTATCTGTGTTTAATAAAGAGCGCTGTATATAAGAACTGTTGATTTATCTAATTTTTAAAGATTTTCATGATTTAAATGTATATAAATTTATGTAATAAATTTTTCAACAGTATTTAACTGCATAGTCTTAAATTAATATATTTCCCAATAAATGTCTTAAGTTGACTAATTTATTTAAATAACTTAAGTATACACGAATAGTACGTATTTTCCGAATTACTTATAAGTTGTGAGAATTACGATTTCTGAGTGCCAATAAAATTCAACTTTATACATCCACTTAAAAGTTTAGAACATATTTCTACTTGGGAGGTTTACCGTAATAAAGTTCAGCATGAGTTTTATTTATATGCATAACCTTTAAATATTCCGAAACCAATATGTATCCAATAAGTATCTAAAGGATATAACACAAAAATATAATTTATAGGTTTATACAAATAAAATTTAATTCATATTTCACTCTAAAACTTTTAAATGATTTAAGAGAGAAATATTCTCTATCGATTATATACAAGTTTTGTGAAATAATATAGTTTAAAGTGTATTTTAAATATATGTTCTTGTAAGTATATCACTATTGCATCACTATTGTATCTATCGTAATATTTTTTGCACAACTTACAGAAACTTACAAGAATTACAAGACTTAAAGGATTTATTGGTACAGATAAGCCACAAGGATTATTTTTGAAAATAAATTGAAGTTAAAATGCAACTTGAAATTTTTAGACTAAAAGGTCTTTGTGTACTTTTATCTGTACTCATATTTAACTTTTAATTTTATTTACAAAAATTTTATTTGATAAATATTTTTAGTCAGCAACATATGTATGCCATTTAATTATTTTAAATTTTAAATATTTTATACTCAACCTGGAGAGAAATTTTTTATTAAATAAATAATATAATTTGCAGGGTCATCGCGAGAGTCCTTCACCAGCTCATTGGTACAAGAGTCGCAGTGTGGTTTTGGCCAGTATGAAGGCTCGTCAGATGATTACTTGGATATTGGGTAAAGAGGATTCTAAATTCAAGAATTGTGAAAACTTACAAGTGCTTTAAAGAAATTGTTAATGAGGTAAAGGATAATAAATATTTAATGGATAAATACAGGAACATATAATGAAATATATAAATTATTTTAACAAAAAAAATACAATGAGTTTAAAAATTTTAATAATAATACAGAATTCATATGTACTATATATTAAGAGATATAACATATACACAAACTTGCTAAATCAAAAAATAATATATAAATTATATGTACTATAGAATAACATATATAATATATCTATGCATAAGTTAAATCAAAATAAATATAAAAATTTGTTTTTAAAACAAAATATATATACAAGCGTAGACGAAAGAAATGTGTATATATTATATGAACATTAAAATATTTAAATAAAAATGTGTGTATAAATCAGAATATATATATCAAGATAAAAAAAAATTTTTTAATTATATTAATATATAAGAAAATACATAATGTTAAGTTAAATAGTCTTGTGTTTGCATATGTACACATACCCATACTTATTATTGTATGTAATCGTATGTATATAAATATGTATAAAATATAAAAAATATGTATATAGCATATACCCGATGTATATACATATATAGGTATATATATGTAAAAATATATATATAGAATATACCCAATATATTCTATATACATCTATCTACATTCTATATATCTATATATATTTATAGTGAAATTCTTCATAACGGACAGTTCTTTTAACCAGACAGCTTCAATACCCGGACCAAAACATTACGACGGTGAGTGTACGGTTATGAGAAATTTTACTATATATATTTGTGTAGACTACAAAGACTATAAAGAGCACATATAGATTACTACTAAAATATACATTGATAAGATATTATATATATGTATGTTACATAAAATAAGAATATATATCACATATACTTGGTTTTTATTTTATATATAGAAATTTATATAAATACATGCATATATATCTTTATGTACATACAAGTATATATATAAATAATTATATATGCATATACATATATAAATAAATTTATTTTATAATTGTAAAAATAGTTAAATGGTTTCGATATAATCAAATCAGAAAATTATTTCTTTATGAGGTCAGTATGCAATATATGTATACAAACATATGTATATAAATATTAAAAAAAATTTTGTAAATTATCTAATAATCAAAATTAAATATAATTTAACAAAGATACCAAATTATGGAACCAAAATTTTATGCTATCTTAATTTATTGTATAAGCAAATTTAGTGTGACTAAAACAAATTTTGAAAATTAACTTTTAAATGGAAAAACCTTTACATAACTGAACTATTTTTTAGAAAATACATATTTTTTACTATATTGGTATAAATTGTACGAAAAAAACTTATTTAGAAAATATTTCAAATTCTATAATATATAAAACAAAAAATATTTTAAACTTAAGCAAAATCACTACACACATAATACCATATTGTTTGCTCTTCTAATTAATTTGATATACCAAAAATACATATATGTTTAAGAAGAATTATATATTGTTTAGATAAAAATTAATACTAAAAACTTGGATTCACTATTTCTATAATTATTAGTAACTTATAAATGTGTTTTTCATAAAGTTTTGCACTATGCTGGTTTGAAAATAACTCTCTATCTAATTAAATGGTTTCCAATTCCGGTTATATCGTAAGTGCGGAATATACATACTAACATAAATATTCACAAATTTTTTTTGACAATTATTTAAATTATCTACTATTACTTTTTTATTCAAAACATAATCATTTTCTAGAATTTATGTAAATATTTCAGTTGAATTTATAATCGGTAATTTGGCCCCACAAAACTTAGTAAAAATTTTTTTTAAAATCATCGTCTTGTATTATCATTGTCTTCCTATCGCTTTTTGAACAAATCGACTATAAAAATTAAATTTTGGGTTAATATGTCCTTCAACTTCTGATGATCTTCCATATATATTCATACTATTAATATCGATTAGATTTTTCATGGGCCTCATATACTTTTTGTATGTCTAGTAAATGTATCATTTCTTACCCCTGACTTTTTAAGTTTTGTTTATACCAGTTTTTCAACAGAGTGTTTAAAGTCCAGTCTCACCTATCTATCTGCGATAGATCTATAACAAATCTTAACCTCCAAACGCAATTTTATTTTGGTCTTCAATATTGCCGCTTTTACAAATATTCTTCCATGCAGTATAGAATATTATTTACAATTTTCAGCAGTCTTCAACGATACAGTTATCTCCAATGTTGGATAAACGTAAAAAACCTCCTTCAAAGGCACCAGTAAACTCATCAGTTGAATTGCGATACAAATATATAGATAACTATAGTACTTTCATTTAGATAGAAAAAGAAAGAATAGTATTAATATTATTATGAATTATGAAACTCCAGTAAAAATGAATAGTGATTCTTAAGCGACGTAGACAATTAACTTCGATTAACGTATTCCCAGCTGATGGTAGCATATTTTCAATAATTGATTACATTCTTTCATCCTTTAATATTACATAGAATAAAACAAAAAAAAAAAGAAAAAACTAGACTCTATAAGATGTATTGTACCTTACTTAAAAGTCTTCAATTCTAATCTAGACAGAAATTGAATTCACTCATAAATCTTAGAATATCCTTTAATTCAAGTTTCTCATTCCTGTTCGCTGAAGAGCAGATTAAAATATTAGACCAGATAAAATATTTAACATTTCTATCATTGCTTCCTTTTATAGACATAGGTAATAGATTCTTTGATATTACATAAAATAAAAAACAACAGAAAATCACATTGTATCCTATGAGACCGTATAATAGGTCGCTTAAAAAGTCTTCAATTCTAATTCAGACAGATATTAAACCCTTTAATAAATCCTACAACATTCTTCAATCCAAGTTTCTTCTTCTTAATCGACGAAAATCAGATGAATATATTCGACTACACCAATATAATTGCAGACCACTAGTCCAGATAATTGAAGGATATGTTATGTTTTGTGTTTCTTATAATCTTCGGATGTCGGCGACATTTTGTCTTAATTCTGAAAAAAGGAAGTTAACTGCAGCAAAGTCATATCAGATATTAGCACTTAATCAGAACAGATTTATTTAGACTAAGAAACTCGATCGAAATTTTGTTGTTTTTTGAATTAAGTGCTGTGATTGAATTATCTTGGGCTTATAAGAAAGGCATGTCTCTTCACAAATAGTTTCTATTAGGTATTTCTGATGACTTATGCAGTTGGATAAGTGAATATCCCGCAAGAGACTATCGCTTTAGGAATAGATGTGTAGCATATTTCCTGGGAAGTTTAACAGTTTTAATACCTGTGAAAAACTCATACGTAAGAATCCATATGATTATTACTTTATTCATAATACCAAACATAAATTTAAAGGTTTCAGAATTTAGATCAATTTTAATAATATATCGAAGAATATTATATCGATCTTAACTAAAATACTAGTAAGTTTTGATTGTACCACTCAAATTTATGGTTTGGATATATTTTCTTTCACAAAAAGTCGTTCTGGGAACTTAACTCCTTGTCCTTCTTAAACGTACTGTCCATACATTCTTATTATAATTTGAATGAGCTATAAAAATTATACACTGTAACTATTAATTTAAAAATTTAATAAATACTACTGGGGACTTAAATATCTACTAAAATGTCGACTTCAAAATAATTGGTTTTAATAAATTAGTGTTTTATGGACCAATTATGTATATGAAAACTTTTGATATCATGAATTATCATTAATTTCACTTTTTCATAAACGAAAATATAAAAATTAATTAGAATCAATAAATTTGAAAAAGAATTTCTTACTAAATATAAGTCATATGAGCGTATATATATATATAAAAATATATACTGAATATACTGAAGATATCATTGAAATCAATTAAAAGTAATTTGGAACATTTATTGAAAATATTTGCAATACATATATGACAAAAAATAGCATAGATATATTTAAGAAAATATTATTTTTAAATAACAAACTGAAACCCTGGCTCAAGATACAAGAAATAACTACCTTTTAAGCAAGTATTAATATCAGCTCAATAATGTATACATAATTTCAAAAAAACTGAAATCCAAATCAAAATTTTATTAATTCTTAAATATTTTAGTTTACATTACAAAATAATTAAAATCTATTACTATAATACTTAAAGGAATCTATTGATCTAATTTCATAACTTATGCTTCCTCTTCTGTTTCAATTTTTCATTTATTAAAAATTAACAAATTATTTATAAAAATTAATAATAAAAAAAAAAATTAAATTGATAATGTTTTAAATATATATATTTAAATGGAATAATGTAAAACAAAAATGATTAATTTCTTAAATTTGGGACTGCATAGAAGAAAAGTTAAATATATAATATAGTACATTTTTTTAAAAGAGATAATAAAAATATATTTTTGTGTCTTCCGGTTTTTACTATCATAAATACTAAAAATCTTCTTAAACTAACTGAAAACTTTAATGAGATTACAATAATTAAATAAAAAAAATTTATGATAATTTTAAGAAAAGAAAAGGCCTATTTATTTATATGAAACTGTATATGGATCAAAATGAATTTAATAATATTTAATGGGAATATATTATATTTTACATATATATTGTATATATTTAAAATTAATTATCTGTGTACAATTTAAATAAAATTAATTTATGT